ACCATGAGATCATTACCTTAGCTGAAGTCAGACGATTAACCGATTCTTGCTGTCCTCTCTCTGCCCTTCCCCTGCCTGTGCTTTCTCTCTCTCTCTCTCTCTCTCTCTCCCCCTCTCCCTCTCCCTCTCCCTCTCCGTCTCTCTCTAAATAAATAAATAAATAAACAAACTTTAAAAAGTTTTTTTAAACAAACAATATTCTCCACTAATTTCAATTTAATCATTTGTTAGGTCCTTTTTTTTTTTTTTTTTTTAAACATTTTATTTACTTTTGAGAGATAGAGAGACAGTACAAGTGGACAAGGGGCAGAGAAAGAGGGAGACACAGATTCTGAAGCAGACCCCCAGGCTCTGAGCTGTCAGCACAGAGCCTGACACAGGGCTCTGACCCACAAATGGTGAGATCATGACCTGAGCCAAAGTCAGATGCTTAACCAACTGAGCCACCCAGGCATCCTAGTTAAATCTTTCTTGTATGTCTAATCCTGTTATTACTATGTTGGATATGTCAGCATAAATCTTGGAAGGTCAAGGATATTTACTGTCTTTGTGGGGGTCATTACTGTATTGCTAGGAAATGCAAATTTATCTCCTGCCATCTTAATTTCTTGTCTTCCATCAGCCCTTCCAGTCATCTGGTCCCTATTCCTGGTCCTTCACTACCACTTTCACATTCCACCTTCCCTAATCTCAGTGTTACCCACCATTTCTCCTTCTCATTCTCACAAAGGTGTTTGTCCTACCCATTAATTAATGGAAGGGGGGAAAATCCAAAAACTCTGACAGGAAAATTAATACTGGCATTTTATCCAGGTTGATTTGGGATTTATTCCATTACAAAATACTTAAGTGTCCTGTTCTATAACAACCAAGTGCCATTGAAGACCTCTTCCCAACATGATTGATAAATTGCTATTAGACTAAAGCATCAAGAAATCCTGGCCAGGTTGCTTTTACCTTTTGAGTTAAAAGCATAGTCATTCTTAGAGGATTTTGTTGAACCAAATAAAATTGACAAACAGAAGTAACTGAAGTTGGCAAGAAATGGGAATGGGGTCCTGACCCTTGAAAGTCCTAAGGGAACAAGTCTCTGGCTGAATGTTGTGGGAGTAGGAGCATAGGTAAGGAAGGGGGAATGAGGGCCTATACACTTAGCCCCTTGTCTCCTCTGGAGGGACACTTGGCCTTGGCATTTTAGAAAGGTCTTTATCAGGGTTCTGAATAAGGTGTTTTCTCTGAGTCCCTTGTGTTTCCTAGGATCCTGCTAAGGTAGTCAGTTACCGATACTGGAATCTTATGAAAGGCCCATTCCTTTTCTTTTCTAAACTCTTGCAATAAAATAGGTAAAAGGATTTATAACCTTCTTTGCCCTCTCCCCTCCCCCCAGCATCCCTTCTGAACCAAAGGAAAGATGGAGGTATAGGAAGTTTGGCCTTAACTTTAAAAACAAACACCCTACAAAGTGATGCCAACACATTTGGTTGGGCCAGCCAGGGCAGATGGCCCAGCGCAATGATCTTTGGTTTGTACAGAAGTGTATAAACAAATGACAGCTCAGAACTGAGTATGGTGGTTTTTCCCAGTATGTGCTTTTACATTGGTACCCATTGTTCGTGATTAGGTCTTGACTTAGCTCATGGAGTGAGGTTGAGCCTCACCAGGCCTATAACCACAGTTTTAGAAATGATCATCAAGGGAAATTCTGTAGATTATTTAGTTCTTAGGAAAAAAAATTCCCTGCCTGAATCCTGCCAACTTGGTCCTGCTATTGATGGGCACAGTCCGGCTAGGTAATGGAGAGGGGAGATTCCAGGTTTTTACTGATAGCATCGTTACCTTAGCTGTTTCAGAATGAAGAAATCTGATTTATACAAATCTCCAGAACTGCTAAAAATTTACTGTCTAAAAATCATTGTATCTAAACTATACAGTAGCAGCTATATTCAGTCATTTTGAAATCTGGAAAACAAGAGAGGGGCTGTTGAGAACCTCCCTGAAGTCCATTCATTTTTCTGATTCTGTGTACACAGCCTCAAATACCTTAAACAAATGGCAGCGATAATTCTTCCTGTATCTGTTTTTACTACCAGTCTCTTGGCTCTATGGATTTCCTCTTTGTCAGAGTTCCTAGGTATCAGTTTGGGTGGGAGAAGGAGAAAAGATCTGTATTAAAATTGCTGATGCGCCTGGGTGGCTCAGTTGGTTAAGCATCTGACTCTTGGTTCCAGCTCAGGTCATGATCTTAACAGCTTTGTGAATTCGACCCGCATGTCTGAACTTGGAGCCTACTTGGGATTCTCTATCTCCCTCTCTCTCTGCTCCTCCCCTACTTGCGATTTTTCTGTTTCTCTCAGAATAAATAAATAAACTTTAACAAGTTGCTGCCAAGAAGAGAAATCAGATGAGGTCACATATCATGGAAGAATAATAGAAAGTTTTCCATGGTCTCAGTTTACAGAAGTTGATACCCCTTCACTTATTCCTCAGGTCCAAAAGTTATTGTAATTGTATTCCAAATAGCATTTAACAGATAAAAATCAGTAGTTGATTCTTTAAGACATGAGACCCTCTATCTGTCCTCCTTTGGTAGTATTCTAGAAATCCCCTCTCCTGAAACACTGTCCATTCAAGTGCTTACTAAGCATATACTTTTTGGTTCAGGCATCGCACCCCCAGTGCTAGGTACGCAAGAGAGCCAGTCCTGCTCTCGTGAACTGTTCAGTGTTGGCAGTGTGATGAAATGTCCTATGGTGATACTATGGAGCTTGCACTCCGGATACCATTGGATAGAGTCTGCCCCTTCCCCTTTTTTAAATTGACAGCTTAAAAAGAAAACCAACCCATATGATAACTGCCAGAAAGATTTAGAAATCTTTTATGAGCTTCAGACTCCATCTCTATTCAAACCCTTTCATCTCTTAAACGCCACTGTTACAGTGGAAAGGATATTGAGTATTATAGCCAAACAGGCTCTGGTTCATATCCTGACTCTGCCATTTACTAGCTGTAGGACTTGGGATGAAATCATTCACATTCTCTGAGTCACTTAAACTACTTTTCTTGGAGGCAGTAGGATTAAATAAGAGATCGGTACTAGGTTTAATCCAAAGCTTCTTTGCTAACTGACTACCTCAGCACAAGTATGGGTAGGAATAGGATGTTGGAAATGTGGAATTCAGAAGAGAACCATGAATGGGAATGCTGCTTTTTGAATCAACCTTATATTAAAAAACAAAACAAAACAAAAAAACAAGGGAAATCCTTGGAGGCTGGTAAGATCCCTATATTGAGACCATGGTTTTAGATTCCCATGGATCTCTTGTCCTTAATTCTCTCAAGTTGATTTTTATTTTGATTAGGCTCAAGTTACCTTTCCCTCCTCCCATTCCACTCTGGGAATCCAGTATACTTGGGCTGCCCAAGGGTTCCCATCATGGCAGCCTACTTTGGTGCATAACCTTTCTGATCCGTGAAAACATGTCTGTTTCTATCGTCTAGTCACTCTCCTTTATGGTTTATTAGCAAAGCCGATGTTGGGTTGAGAGATGGATAGCTTTAAGTGTATTCTCCATCTTGGAGAATTCAAATATTAATACTGTCAACTATGGTGGAAAAATTAGGCAAGGGACGTTTTTGTCACTGGCCAAGTAGAGGAAGTATCCAGTGCTAGTTAAGTTGGCACTACCGAGGAGCAGATCAGTATAGTGTGAAAACTCTTGCTGTCATAAAAAAAGATGTGTATGTACATGGCAATAATGAGGGGTATCTTCAATGAGTCAAAAGTTGTGTCAGGAGGCCAAAAGCAGAAGAAGACACTTTCTCCACAACTGGATTATTTCTGGAGAAGGGATGTTTGTTGTTCCTAGTCATTGTCGCTCTAGGACACCTAGATGAGAAATATCTGGAATGAATGTTTAAACAAGGTGGAGTTGGGAGGGGGGTGGAGGTATGTGAAGCCGAGACTGCCTGCTGATACTTCGTGCCCTAGTAGTGCCAAGCTCCTGGTAGAGGCTGCGATGGTATTCATTGCTTAGATAAATGGTGTCTGACTGCATCACATTTTGCCAGCTGGCCAGGGACACAGGTTGGTCTGACACATGCTGAGCTGTTGATGGTTGCTCAGAAGCAACCTTGTTCAGAACATGAGTGTATATGTTCTGTGTGTGATGCCCTTACCAGTGAAGTCAAACCTGTGAGATTATTCAAGTGTTTAAATGATGACATCTTCATCTGTGTTATCATAAGTTCCAGGCCTCTGGCGCTTTTCTCAGTCATTGAAGAAGAAGCCTACAGGATGGTCCTTAAAATATAGCTTCTTATTCGTGGCCTCTTGATTTTTAATCCATACAGTCATGCTTTTAAGACACTTGCTCTAATTCAGATTCTTAGTACTTGGGCTCTCCCTATTAAGGAAGTGGCCCAAACCTCCTTTCTTTTCCCTAGCTCTCCCCATTGTCAGGGTAATAAAAGGATTTTTTCCATTATTTTCCCTGTGGTCTTTGTATGTTTGTTTTGTTTGCTACCTTCATCATAGAAATTGAGGGCAAATGGATGCGAGATTTTTCTGTGCATTTAAGTAATTATATGCTTTTGGATCTGCATGTCCCTGGCTCAGCTGCCTAACTGTTCCCAAGTAGTTCAGTCTCATTTTGCTCATGACTGGCCTTTTCTAAGGTAACACTTGGGTTCTATCTTGGGGATCAAAAACTTGAGAAATGTTTTAAGTGGCTGTGGCTTCATTGACAATGGGATTGCAGGGGGTGGGCGTGGGCAATGCTTACAGGCTAAATAAAGGCTCTTGGTAAGAGCACATATGCTGAGAGAATATTTCATCTTCCCTCGTTCCATAGCAACTTTATCTGTAAGATTAAGCATTCTGCTGGTGGCATAGTTAATAAAAAATCTTGGCTCCGGTTCAGAACTGCTTGTCTGCCAATACTGGAACCTCTTTACTTTGCTCCATTTCATCATTTGATTTTTGTTTCCTTCTGTCTTCCCAGGTGGCATTGGTAGGGTGGTCAACGGAGCCTTCATGGTGCTGAAAGGGCATCGGTCTATTGTTAACCAGGTCCGATTTAACCCTCACACCTACATGATCTGCTCTTCTGGTGTAGAAAAGATTATCAAGGTGAGGTGCCTTCCCCTTCTAACCGTTTTAGACAAATTATTACAATTCATAATTGGAAGAAACTAGAACAATAGGTATAGGACCTCATACCTAAACCTGCTAAAGGTCCATCAAAATTCTCAATTATTTGGGGGCACCTGGCTGGCTCAGTCAGTAGAGCTTGCGACTTTTGATCTTGGGATTGTGAGTTCAAGCCCCACATTGAACACAGAGATTACTTTTAAAACTTCTCAATTATTTTCACATGCTATAAAATATTGATAAATTGATATTAAAAAGAGTCGTTTAAAACCCACCTTTCAGGACCTCTTTTAAAAATAGTCACCAGGCTTTGAAACTAGATGCTGTTTGTATGCCACTATGTTACTAATAGCCTTTGATCTGGAGTCTGAGGAGTTCTGCTTTCCAAACCTCATCTGGAAGCCACCATCCCCTCAGTTACCCGGGTGCACTATGCATTAATTGCGGCGATAATATGGCACAGACATAACTAAGTGACTGCCAGAACTGTAGCTAATTTGCCTCAGAACATGTCAAAAACCACTGCATGTGGTTGTGATTGAGGCTAAACATTTGCATTAATTGCACATCGACTGAATGAACTGAACCTGGCAAGGAATGTATTCAGAACCTGCAACCAAGAGACCAAGCCTGGCCTGTGTCCACAGAAGAACATCACTCACATTCCAGTGGCTCGTAACCCTTTTCCACATCTGAGAAAATGAAGGTTTGGGGCAAAGGATGAATTCTTGAAGACTCAGTGATAACTTGATTTTTTAAGTAAGGATAGATGTTAATCCCCCTAAAAGATAAAACTCCTAATTTTTTATCCTAAAATGACATTGAAAACCAGTTTTCATTTTCTTTCTTCCTTTCCTCCTTCTTTCCTTTCTTCTTTCCTCCCTCCCTCCCTCCCTCTCTTTCTCCCTTTCCTTTCCTTTTTCTTTTTCTTTAACTGTTCAGAGTTAAACCAAGTTGTCTTCTCTGAGCAAGGAAAGTGTCAGAAATGTAATGTTGGATTATGGGTCAGTATTTCTATTTGCCCTCAATCCAACTTCCCTTATTTAAGTTTTGTTGGTCCTGTGTGTCAGGGCTGACTTCCATGATTGCAAACGTTTTCCCACAGACCTGGAGCAGGACTTCTGGATCATTTTTACTGACTTATTCTTTTTATAAATGATGAGCTTTAAATTATAAACTACCCATCTGAGGTTAATTACACAGCTGAATAGCGGTAAAGTGAGGATAGTTTCTTTCCTGTTTCTTGTTCTTCCCAGTGCCCTGTCACACTCCCATGCTGGTGTGAAGGCAGCGCGCAGCCAGAGGCCCCTGCGGGAGGTGCTCATCTCAGGAGTCCTTCACTGGGCAGTTGTGGAGTTGGCCCTGGCCCCTTGAATTGCTTTCTCTTCTTTCTCCTTTAGCCTATGACTAATGGGTTGGCACAGTAGCCTGTCCCCTCTCGGCCTGGTGACGTCATTCTCTTTCTCAGAGCTCAGCTTGGACATCTCCTTTAGAAGAGAGATTCCCGTTTGGCTGTGGGCTCTGAGATGCCTCTGTACTTAGTCTCCCCAATTATTGTTTAGTCAACCGGAGGCCTTACCCTAAAGGTCATAGTTTGGAAACTAGCCAAGTTCTCAGAGGAGAAAGAGAAGAAAATGTTTTCTCTGGGAGGTTATCCAGACTTAACTATGGAACTCACTGCTTCCAGGTTCCCATGGGCTCTGAATGCTGCCCCACCAGGAGGCCTGTTTAGCCATTTGAAACCTTAAGTCAATACAACTGGTGCCCTTGAACAGTTCTTTGAGTCTGTTTCCCATCTGTCAAGTAAGGATGCTAACAGTGACTTGTCATCCAGGAGTACCTTGTAAATTACCTGTGCCTGACAATTTCTGACTATTTTAATAAGTGTCACTTTCCTGCTTGCTATTTTTGAAAGGACCAATGGCTCAAAGAGTATAATGTTTTAACAGCCTGAGATCTTTTTTCTATCTACTTCATTTCACCTTCTCCCTTGTCTTTTACTGCTGCCTTTCTAACCCAGAGTAGAATCCCTGTTGTCAGGGCCAGCTGCTTCTCACCCACAACAGGTTCTAGCCCCCTGAATGTCCACACTGAGCAAATGAGGGGGTTTGTTTTGTATTTAAACATGGAGGGGAAAGATAGGGCAAATGCTGACATGTTTCCCCCTCAAAGTCTAGTATTCATTTATTCATCCATGATATGTATGATATTTATGATATACCTGTGTAATGCCATTTGTGCTAGGGCCTATGCAGAACATGAAGGCAAAAAGAGGTAGTGCAGTTCCCACAGGAATTGATGACCCAGTAGGAGAGAGAAGAAATAAAGATAATAAAAAATGCAATGGCTACATAAGAGATATAAACAAAATGCTCTGGGGGAAGGGGAGATTTTTCCTGTCTGGTAATCTCAGGCAGGTAATATTTGAACTAGACTTTGAAGAATAAAGAGTGTAGATGGAAGGGGAAGAATGAGATACCAGGAACATTCTAAGTGGAAGGAATGGGTAGTTAATAATTTCATTGAATCCATAAATATTTATTGATCACCTACTGTGTTCCAGGCATTATACTGAGAAATAATGCTCAGAAGCAGTGAAGTGTAGGACCTGTTCAGAAAATGATTAAGTTTGGCCAAAATGAAGAGCACAAGAAGGGAGATCTAAGATATAAGGCAGGAAGGTGAGCAAGAGGTAGGCCCAGAAGGTCTTGGACGCCAGATTAGAGAGTGTGGAGAACTCTTGAAATGCAATTTAGGTCTCTATCTGTGTAGATTTTCATGGTAGATGGACAGATTTCTTCCTTTTTTTTTTTTTTTAAATGTTTATTATTTATTTTTAAGAGAGAAAGAGAGCACAAGCAGGGGAGAGGGAGACACAGAATCGGAAGCAAGCTCCAGGCTCTGAGCTGTCAGCACAGAGCCTGACACGGGGCTTGAACCCATGAACCACGAAATCATGATCTGAGCCGAAGTCGGACGCTTAAGCAACTGAGCCACCCGGGCACGCCTGACAGAGTTCTTAATTTAGTTGAATTGCACGAAGAGAAGAAGGCTTAGAGCTGCTGCATCCAGCCTGTCATGGTCACCTGTGTAGATCAGAACATTTGCTACTTAATTGCTTTCCATTTTGATGATGTTTGAGAATTGAACTGCATCTTTTCCTTCAGCAGCCTTTTTTTTTTTTTAGTTTTTTTTTTTTGTGTTTTTTTAGGTTTTATTTTGAGAGAGAGAATGGAGAGGGGAGGGGCAGAGAGAGAGGGAGAGAGAATCCCAAGTTGGCTCCACATTGTCAGCACAGAGCCTGACGTGGGGCTCGAACTCATGAATCATGAGCTAAACTTTTCACTGGGCTTGGAGAGAAGCCTGCTCATCCCTCCTTTTCTCATGAACCTTGCCCCAAGAGGAGGCATGGCTAACCAGCCATATTTAACATATCAGCAACAGGAAGTTGTGTTTTTGTTGCTTTACTTCTGGGTTGTTGACTTTCAGTGTAAAGAAATAAGCACTTGCACAAATATTCCAAACTGACATTTTAAGGATGAGGACTGAGATAATAATGACGGTCAGTCCTTCTGATGTTCCAGAGTCTCTTTGAGGATGCGCCTAAGACTTTCTAGGCAAGGCATCCACCTGCCCGGTGAAAGAGAGCACGCCACGCTTTGTTGTGCTTTGGTATAGGTTACGTCACTTCATCATTCTCATTTCTACAGATGAAACAAGAGGCTTTCAAAGTGAAGCCACTTGCCCAGGACCATGTGAAGCCGTGGAGCCAGGGCTCCTACCTGTTCTGCCGGCCCCAGCAGCTCTGTGCTACAAGTCCCTTGAGGACTGAACACTGGCTGTCTGGCATGAGGGTTTTGTTTTGCTCTGAATCCTAGGATTAGATAAGACCCATCTAATTCACTGTGTAGGTCAGGGGGCTGAGCTCTATCCAAAGTCAACCAGCCAACTAGGAGTTGAGTAGGAACCCACACTCATGTCTCCTGTCTCCTGATCCAATGTTTTGTTCCATTACTCCAAGCTTCAGGAATGAAAGTCTACCTCATTCTAATACATTCCAGAGCCCAAATAAAAGCTGACTTTCAGTGTTAATGATTTTCATTCCTGAAGGAAGAAATGGGCTGGGTAATAGATTAGAACCTAGAAGCTGGTTTATTGGATAGTTGGACTAGAACCCCACATTTAATATTTAGTCCTTCTATTAACAAATTCTGTGTTTCTGTGAAGCACGTGTAAGGGCTTGGCCTTTGGGACCCCTCCAGTTTCCTTTCTAAGCCACCAAACTTTTCCCTGGACATTGTTCTGCAGAGATAGTCATTCGTAGCTTGAGCCTGTTGTTGAAGGCCACGTCTGAATGTTTCCCAAACTTTGGGTCTTACAAAGAATTTGAGAATCTCTTCAGACAAATCCTTTATTTTCTGCTACTTTTTTTTTAAGGTTTTTTTTTTTTTTTTTTTGTGGGGGAGAGCGTGCCTGCATGGCTCAGTCGGTTGAGCTTCTGACTTCAGCTCAAGTCATAATCTCACAGTTCGTGAGTTTGAGCCCCACTTCAGGCTCACTGCTGTCAGCCTGGAGCCTGCTTTGAATCCTCTGTCTCCCTCCCCCTGCCCCTCCTCAACTTGTACTCTCTCAAAAGTAAATATTTTTTTCTATGTCTGTGTTTGAGAGGGAGAGTGGGCGTGAAGCAGAGAGGGAGGGAGAGAGAGAATCCTGAGTAGGCTCCACCCTGTCAGCAACAGAGCCCGATGTGGGACTCAGACTCATGAACCATGAGATCATGACCCGAGCCAAGATCAAGAGTCAGATGCTTCACAGACTGAGCCACCTAGGTGCCCCCCCCTCCACTAGTTACTTTCTACTGTATTCTGCTGTTTCTTAAATGTTGGTGTCCCCCTTGTTAAAAATGCAGAGCCCCGGTACCTACTGGTGACTTAGTGAATCAGAATCTCTAAGGGCAGGGCTCAGGGGTCAACACTGTTACGATTCTTCAGGTGACTCTTGTGCTCTCTGGAGTGTGAGAACTGCTGCCTTAAACCTCCCCTGGGTCAGATCATGACGATGGAGATGAGAGAACACCTGAGGAGTTGTGGGCAGGGAACAAAGTCAAAAGAGGAATAAGTCTAAATTAGGAATTGGTAAAAAGAGCTAATCTAGGTTTTTCCAGCCCCTTTTCAACTGGGGAATCCTTCAAAGAGATGCTACCTCCCAGAAGTTGCAAGTAAAGCATGGGAAGGGTTGGGCCTCAGGAAAGTGCTCATAAGGAGGTGAATTTGTCCTTGGATAGCTTTGGGGAAGCAAAGGCATTGTCTTGATCCAGGTTAGAGAATGAAGAGCCCTGTTTTCTGGGTTGGGAGCCTAAAGATAGACACCAGCCTGTCAGGCAAGAAAATCGCCTGGAATTTCATCTGAGTTGCCATGGCTACCGGCTGATGTAACTGAGCTTCTGTGCACGGCTCCATGGACCAGTCTGGCAGTCAGGTGAAGCTATGTGTTCTCATTTGCAGTGACAGCTTAATTACCTTGAACTGGATTTTTGCATAACTTATTCCACTTGTAAAGTTGGGCCTCCGCAGTCAGGCCGACCTGAGTTTGAGTCCTACCTAGCTCTGCCTAGTTCCTTTGGCTGTCAGCCCGTATCTCTGGTGACAGAGTGGAGGAGTGTTAAGGGATGGGGCCGCGGATTTGGGGTGTGTGTCCTACCTATTCCTGTAGCTAACAGAAGAGTTGGGGAGCAGGCCAGCAGCAACCTGGTTAAGAGAACCCAGTTTCCTGGGTAACTGATGCCTACATGTCCAAGAGGGAACTGCAGTGTAGGCAGTTGGCTATTCTTATCAAGTTCCATAAGCAATTCCCATTAGTTAAAAATAGAAATGTTGCAGTTGGGGAGAAGTGGAGTTATAGGCTGAAATACTAACTACCACAGAGGACTCGCTGCTGGGTCTGTTTTCACTGTGGAAAAGTGGTACCTCTCTGTGCGCAGCTTCAGTCTTCTGAGAGTTTTGAACACTTTGGCCAGTCTTCAAGTCATCCCCTATCCTTCAAGATTATGAAGGGGGTTACTGTAATTTCCAAGCTGCCAGCCGAGGAAGCTAAAGGAGAGGAGTCGCTGTAGGGGTGTGATGTGTGACTATGCTGGGCCTAGAGACAGGACTTCGGTTTCCTGACACGAGGCTGATGCTGTGTCCTAGACAATGCTTTTTCCAGCATCTGACTCTAGAAGCCTCGGCTTTCGTGCATGGCCCACAGAATCCAGTCCGATAAAGAATACATTTTTAAAGCTGGTTAGCAAGTCCTGGCTAAATGACAGGGGAGGGTCTGGAGGAACTCTGCCTCAGTGTTCTTTATCACTGCCAGCTTTAGAGTACTTGACAATCAGGCCTCCTTGGTTTTGTTTTTGCCTTCTGTGCAGATCTGGAGCCCATACAAGCAGCCAGGGTGTACAGGAGACCTCGACGGTCGGATTGAGGATGATTCCCGCTGCCTCTACACCCACGAGGAGTACATCAGCCTTGTGCTGAACAGTGGGAGTGGCCTGTCACATGACTATGCCAACCAGTCTGTGCAGGAAGACCCCCGGATGATGGCCTTCTTTGACTCCTTGGTGCGCCGTGAGATTGAGGGCTGGAGCTCTGACTCCGACAGCGACCTCAGTGAGAGCACTATCCTCCAGCTGCATGCGGGGGTCAGCGAGCGCTCGGGCTACACTGACTCAGAGTCCTCGGCCTCGCTGCCCCGCTCCCCTCCACCCACAGTGGACGAGAATGCCGACAGCGCCTTCCATCTGGGGCCCCTGAGGGTCACCACCACCAACGCCGTGGCGTCACCTCCACTGCCGCCCACATGCGAGGATGCAGCTTCTCGCCAGCAGCGCCTGTCTGCCCTGCGGCGCTACCAGGACAAACGCCTCCTGGCCCTCTCCAACGAGTCTGACTCGGAAGAGAACGCCTGCGAGGTTGAACTGGACACAGATCTCTTCCCCCGGCCACGGTCCCCCAGCCCCGAGGACGAGTCTAGCAGCTCCAGCAGCTCCAGCAGCTCTGAGGACGAGGAGGAGCTGAACGAGCGCCGAGCCTCCACGCGGCAGCGGAATGCCATGCGGCGCCGACAGAAGCCACCCCGGGAAGAGAGGCCTGCTCCTGCCAGCAAGCCCGCCAACACCTACATTGGCGAAGACAACTATGATTACCCCCAGATCAAAGTGGATGACCTCTCCTCCTCCCCGACGTCCTCCCCTGAGCGGGGCACATCCACCCTGGAGATTCAGCCGAGCCGGGCCTCGCCAACCTCTGACATAGAGTCAGTTGAGCGAAAAATTTATAAAGCTTACAAGTGGCTCCGCTACTCCTATATCTCCTACTCAAATAACAAAGACGGAGAGAGCTCCCTCGTGGCTGGGGAGGCAGACGAAGGGAGAGCTGGAACCAGCCACAAGGACAGCCCAGCCCCTTCTTCCAGTAAGGAAGCCTGTCTAAACATGACCATAGCCCAGAGGAACCAGGACCTGCCCCCTGAAGGTCGCAGCAAGGACGCTTTTAAAGAAGGGACTTCTGCGAGAAATCCCAGCAATGGCCCAGGCCATGAGCACAGCAGCCACCCTTGGGCAGAGGCGCCAGAGGACCCCTCACAGGACACTAACAATGGTAGCTCTGTAGAACATGCTTTCGAAACCAAGAAGCTCAATGGAAAGGCCCTGAGCAAGGCCCTAAGCAGCCGGGCTGAGGAGCCGCCCTCTCCTCCTGTCCCCAAGGCATCTGGCTCCACTCTCAGCAGTGGGTCTGGCAGCTGTCCCAGGACCCAGTCTGATGACAGTGAGGAGAGGAGCCTCGAAACCATCTGTGCCAACCACAACAATGGACGCTTACACCCCCGCCCCCCTCATCCCCACAACAATGGGCAGAACTTCGGGGAGCTGGAGGCAGTGACCTGCTCTTCCCCAGGACATTCGGACACTGACCACGATAACCTGTCCCTGACAGGGACACTCCTACACAAAGATTGTTGTGGGTCTGAAATGGCCTGTGAGACCCCCAGTGCTGGAACGAGAGAGGACCTCACTGACCCCCCAGACACAGACAGCAGCAGGGCTGTTCATGGCCCTAGTGGCCTCAAAAGGCACCGAGTCGAATTGGAAGATACAGATTCAGAGAATTCTTCCTCAGAGAAGAAATTAAAAACATGATAAATACAAAGGGAAAACAAAAAGCTATGAAAAGTAGCTTTACAAAGAAAATTTTTAATCCTGTTTAGTGAACACAGAGGAAAGGAAAAAAAGTATTAAAGGCACATAAAACCAGGGCCTGAAATTTTGTGTCTGATGCTGCTCCCTTCTATTCAATAATGGGTCTGAATGTTTAGTTGGCCACTGGCTTGTGCTACGTAAGGAGAGGGGGAAAATGTCCAAGTGACTCCTTTCTAGTAAGACTTGAGCATCGCGTACCTGTGCGTTTTGTTAAAGTAAATCCTTGTTGAGACATTTGACTTGTTCTTGTGTGTGTTCACCGGCACGTGTGAGCTCATTGTCTCAGAGGCTTTTTTTTTGGTTCTCCATCAGGAAGGATCTATGGATCTGTATCTTTTGCCGTCTCACCTTGTTTACATGCTGTCGGTGTTCTGGTCTTAATGGTGAGTGCCTGCTGAATCCGGCTGCCCTGGCAGTGAGTTGTGGGTTTATGCTGAAGAATGACGGGGAGGGTGGAAACAGGCCTTCCACGCTGGAAGGAAAACATGGTTCCTTTGTGAAGGAAACCTTCCATGTTTTGTCTCAGTAGCACTTCTTCATTGAGCATTTAAATGGACATACTAAAAACGTTTTTAATGCTGATAAGAGGTTAGCACTGGAGATCAGATCCCAGAGAACGTAGCCCCCTGATCGATTTCACCCTCAGCAGGTTGAGCCGTGCTGCGCCACACTCTGGGAGGCCGGAACATAGACCTGGTTGTGGGGGGCGGCTGTAACCAGGTAGGTGCTCCTTCCTAGAGGAGCTCTAGAGGCCATTGGGCTCTTCCTTGGCCCCCTGTGATGACAGGAGGTGGGAGGGAAGACAACTCTCTAGAGCTTGGTGCTCAGACTATTTAAGCCAATGTCGTAGGTATGTTAATGAAGTGTAGTGAAGAGCAGGGTGTGGTGCTATATTCTTTTAATTCAACCCAAAATGATTGGTCAGAACTGAAGGAAAGTGGCATCTTCCTCTGGGCTAGCAATTAGCAGAGGCTGTGGTGTTCTGACTAGAACTCAGAGAGCAATAGGCATCTCTAAACCACAGCTTCCTGATGAGGTGGTGTGTTAGGGAGGCAGAGACGAGTCTCTGGTTTAAGGCTCCTGGCTCCCGGAAGAGACTTCATATCACCAAGTGGGGGAAAGGCCGAGAAATCTTCAGCATCACAGTAGTCCTTACAGTCACTTGGTTATAGCTGCACAAGGCAGGAAGACCTGGGAATGACCAGATACCCCGTCAGCACAGATGTCATGAAAAGGCAGAAGAGTGGCAAGAAATGAGGAGGAGAGTGAAAGAAAGCACACTAACTTGAAAGGGGTGCCAATGTGAGAAACCGCTTGGGGCACAGCCAGCATTGGCATAGAGAGGACTGAGTTTGTGACTTATCCAGCGCTCCTTTTAGAAGGGGCCCGTCCTACTGGGACTGGGACCTTGTGGAGGATGGAGACTGGGATGAATTTAGGCACTAGGGGAAGAGGGATGATTTATAAAAGGAAGGTTGTTGATCTAAGCCAAAAGGAGACATCATCTGGCTAAGCTTTGTGGAAGGAAAGACATGCCTGGTGTGTGTGATGTGACTTGGGTATGAAAACACTGTCTTAGGAGGAGGAGATGAAGGAGTGTGAGTAGCAGTGGGGGTGCTTACAATCTAACAACTGTAATCTCACGGGGGGGGGGGAGGGGGGAAGTGATTCTGTAACTATTAGAATTACTTTGGATTTGTAATCAAAATGGTTCTATGATTTGTCTTTGACTATTCACAGATAATTGTAAATTCTGGTTTTTATAAGCCCAAGTCATTTTACATTTGCTTTTCCAAAATTTATTAAATTGGAATTTTTTAATCCTTTATATACAAAAAAAAAAAAGATATCATCACTCAGTGTGTGTTTCTCTTCCCCTTCTTAGTCAGCCTCCCTAGTCTTTTTGTTTTATTGTATCAGTAGCTAGCCTCTTCCGATTTCTCTTAGGACAATCCACTTTTCCTAGAGGAAAAGAAGTTAAGCCCCCGTTGGGAAATAGCCACTTGATGGTTCTTATTTCTAAATGCAGAACTGGTCTTTTCATGTTAAAAGCCTTAATCTCATTTGGGTTCTCCAAAGAGAAGTCAAAATTCATTCTGGATCAATTTTAGTGTTCACGAGAGATGGTTTTTAGCAAGGATGCCTTCTATCCTTGGGAGAGACTCTGTCTGCCTAGCACCCCAGATTCCACTTGCCAAGAGGTAAGCCCACAGGATACTCACTGGAACAGGCTGAGAAATGCTTATTCCCGTAGCCACTACACTCTCATTTACAGAAATCTCATGTCTTCGGATCGTGGGCCTGGAAACGTGGCAGGAACCACTTCCAGAGCCCCTTTGCCAAATTCTTTGTGAACTGAGGCCTCAACTTTGGAGGCACATTTGATCCCCAAAGTCTTCCATGATGGTATTTTTACTAGCAGGACAGATGGCACTGATTAGATTAAGAGCTATTTGAAAGTGCCTCTTGTTGTTGTTGTTGTTTTTTCTGCATCCTGTACATAAATTTTTTAAGTGGCTGGTCCAGAGAGGTAAAACCGTTTATTCCCACTTTATTTTCCACCTGGTTTTATAAGTAATTCCTGTGTCTCTAGGACAGCAGTAAATGAGTTAAATGAGTAGTTGGCTTGGGGCAAAAGAAGGCTGCAACTGTGCTTGATTTACTAGGCCAGGAATCCTTGTTTGTCAAGGTGCCTTCCTCTGCTGAAGCCTCACCTCCTCCCAAGCCCCTCCTCTTGTGACTCCCAGCAGCGCTAGCTCCTCTCTTGTGTATATGCAAATAAACCTATTACTCACTTCTCACGGCTTCCTCTTCTCTTCCAGGGAAGACTTGGTTGCTTAGACACCCCTGATCCTTCATTTCTTTGCTGTTTTAATTCTCGCCTAGTTAAAACTCGATTCAAAGCCACTCTGAAGACTAGAAGAAAAACTGATATTCTACATCCATGCCAATGGTCATTGCGACTTCTAGGTGTAGGACAAAGGTCACATCTGGACAATAAGATGTAGGATAGAAGGAGGTATCTACTTGGTCTCCTTTACCAGGCTTACATGGACTCAGAATAGTGAGATCCTGGAGTTGACCTTTTTATTAGCTGGAACGGAGGGAGTGACACAGTGAAGTGACATTATAAACAGTCCCAAAAGAAAGTTTTTGATGTTTCCAAATATCAAGTTGCTTTTCCTGCCCTGTTCCAGGCATGCTTTGCAAGCATTTTCCTTAAAAAAAAAAAAAAAAAAAGGGGGAAAAAAGTCCTCCCATATCTTGTCCATAAAGCTGCCTTTTTTAGTTAACTGAAAAATTCTTGCCACCCAAGACTCTTGTGAGGAAAACAGACCCTTCCAAGGGAAGGCCATCCACCTCTATGGACGTAAGCAAGGCGATGGGCCAGGGTTGAAATACTGAAGTGAAGGAAGGCTCTGTGAGTCTAGACAGGCCTACAGCAGCAGGATAATGGCTCTGGACGACTGTGTGGCTCAGGTGGGATATTTCTGTCTATGTGCTCATTTGTGCTTGAGTGCTCATCCCAGAATGAAAGGACATGAATTCAAGTGGCTTGGAAGTAATTTTGAGTTTTTTCACATGGAACAGAAGAAAACTAAAAAATCTGAACCATGTGCAGACTAATTGCAATTCACTGTTAGTGCAGAGGTGGTAAGATGGCTCTCAGAACAGAGGCTCAGAGGGGTGCCTGGGTGGCTCAGTTGGTTAAGCACCTGACTTCAGCTCAAGTCATGATCTGGTGGTTCATGAGTTCAAGCCCCACGTTGGGCTCTGTGCCGACAGCTCGAAGCCTGGAGCCTGCTTCAGATTCTGTGTTTCCCTCTCTCTCTGCCTCTCCCCTGCTCACGCTCTGTCTCTCTCTCTCTCTCTCTCTCTCTCTCTCTCAAAAATAAATAAACATTAAAAAGATTTTTTAAAAAAAGAACGGAGGCTCAGGGACAAAGATAAACTTCACTGGGGCCAGCACTAACATGGCCAGGGACAAGAAGGAGGGACTGCTCCACTCCACCCCCTCAACAGGGTTACCTTGAGCTGGACAGAAGGGTCCTGCGGGGCTTGTTGACAGGACAGTCCCACTGTAAGGAAATGGGATATCTGGGATTTCAAATTACTGAAGTTGGGAAATGAGCTCCTTTCTGGAACCCAAAGCCACGAGTTAGTGGAATATTAGCTAATGGAATATTCCAGTTGAAGTGTAGAATGCTAGCTTACAAGTCTCTATCTGGCTTTGTTAGTACCCCCACCAAAGCTGGAGAAAGGCGATAAACCACTAAGAAATCTGGGTGCCAAGTCATGATCCTTTGGCATGAGTGACATTTTTGTGGTCTAGGGAAGCTGCGAGGGAAGAAACGAAATGCTAGGTGAGTTCGGCAGGTTTCCAGACCCACAGAGCTAGTGCTGAACACGTCATGGGCTGACCTCTAAAACACTTGGTTATCAAGATTCTCCAGAATCCCCAAGTAAAATGCTTAATTTCTAATGGGAGTCCAGGGGTGCCCAGCTGGCTCAGTTGGTGGAGTGTGTGGCTTTTCATTTTGGGGTCATCAGTATGGGCCCCATGTAGGGCAAAAGATTACTTAAAAATAAAATCTCAAAAATAAATAAGAATATAATGGAAGTCCATAAACATGCAGGATTGGTTTGGGAGAAATGCAATGAACACCAACACACCTAAGCTTGCACCCAAGCCAGAGGACTGTGTGGCTACCGGAGGTCACAGAGGTTTTGTAGGGTAGCAAACAGCTCCTTGACTATTCCTAGACTGGTTAGTGATAGTGTTTGAGGCCTACCCCTACCACCATTTCTTACTGTCTTTTCATGTCGATGTTTTCTAACATTTCTAGTCTCTCTAAGACCCTACCTTAAATTATTAAGGCTTATTTCTTTTCCTCCTAAGAAAGATCCGTGAATGGGCTGGAAATGGCATTGAACTAGCAAACAAAGTGGACTCTAATACTAGTTCTTCAGTGGAGTAGCTGCATGAGGCTTGGGCGAGTCACTCAACTCTTGGGAACTGTGAAATAGAGATCCGTCTCAACTCTAAAATTGGATTCTCTCAATTCCATGGGCCCTCTAGGTCCCATTCTGTGGAGTTCTCCTTCCTGAGGCAGCCCTATGGTGTCTACTGGAACCAGTCGGTGAACCAGGCTCTTTGGCAAGTGTACTACTGCTCAGAGCCTGAAGCTCCTTATCTGTAAAATGGGGAGAGTGGCTATTTCAGCACATTGTTA